TAGTATAGTATGAGGGATGTGTGCAGTTCAGCAGAGTAGATTACTCTATTCCCACCATCATGAGCGTGTTTGAAAGTCTTTCTCCCCTTAACATAATTGCTTTTTTATATGGTCATAAATACCATCAGAAGTTTCCCACACTCTTTATTCATGCACCATTATGCACGTTCACACCGCAGTACTTTTCCCACTTTAGTTCCGATATAGTTCCGAAATGTCACGTTCACAACAAAAAGAGCTGGAACTAAAATGAGTTCATGGGAACCTTTTCACCCCCTTTTCCGTCCCTGGGAGTCCCAGCAGCTTCTACTGAAGCCAGTCCCCAACTCCGGGGACTTCCGGCCGGGGATTTTGGGCGGCAGTATACGCCGTGAAGTTGTTTGCGGCCTGCCAGTAAACCCAAAGCAGAAGAAGAAGAAGTGACGTCAGCGGCTTCATTTGACTAATTCTTCCCCAGGAACTTATTCCGGTGTGAACGCGATCTGTACTTAGTTCATCAGAACTAAAGAGTTCTCATGAACTAAGTTCTCATGAACCTTTGTGGGAAAAGTACTGCGGTGTGAAAGCGCCTAATAAAGACCATCTAGCTGCACACTTCTTCACTAAACACAGTATACAGACATTCCTCACATGTATTCTGACGCACTGTACCTTCGGGGTAGCTCTTCGGCGGGCTTCTCTTGCTCTTCCTCTGTTTTTGTGACCCCTGACTCCTCCCTCCTCCTCCTCCTCCTCCTCTATCTAAGCTGGATGAGGAAGATGTTCGGGCTTCACCAGGGGAAGGGAAAGTGGTTCCAACGTCTCTGGTGTGTCGTCGAGTCCCATTGCTGACAATCTCTAGGTCACCTGAGGAAAGAGAGTTAGGGCTGGACTGAGTGGTTTGAAGCTTCACTCAATGATGTGCTCTGCCTGTTTTCACAAATATAAGATACGGATAAAAGTGATAGGAAACAAAAAGACACAGTGTTGAGAAAATACTGAATGATAAATACATGTATCCTGATACTGAAGCCGGTGACGAGTGATATTTTTCAACACACACCAAAACGTAAGAAAAGTACAAAATGAGTGTAGAAAAGCCTCTAGCTGCACTGACCTGTCTGGATGCCTCTGCTCACGACCCTAACAGCCTTCTTGGCTGCCAGGGTCCTGGAGGGGCCGCGGGGGGAGGGCAGGGTGTACGTGCTGGTTGAAGACGCAGAATCAGGAGCAACCTGAAGACCAACGCAGTTACAAATGAATTCCAATGGAATGGTGACAACCAAAAAAAGGTCTTGATTTATAAACATTTATTCTTATACATCCGTCCCTAAATGAGCCCTACTACAGCAATACATGAGATGATATATGCCCTTACTGTGGACTCGTCGGTGCCGGTGGTCTCTGACAGCGTGGAGGTGTGATGCGGCTCTCTGCCCCCCCCTCTCCTCGGCTCCCTCCCTTCTTTCTGCTTGTCGATGGCGCTGTACAGTCTCCTGAGGCCGGAGCTCGTCTTCAGGCTTTGGACTCGGTGTGCCCCGAAGGCTCGGACCAGCCGCGCCGTGTCCACAGTGGACATGGAGCCTGAGCCGGACATGGAGGACAGCGTCTCTGACTTGTCTCTGTCTGCAGGACACAGGTGGGGACTCTGGGAGGAGCTGCAGGTGAAGGAGTCGTCCTCTGCAGGAACAGAAGTCTCCTCCACCTGCAGACTGTGTGTCCAGGCCTGACGGAGAACTGGAGGTTCACCTTCAACCTTTCTGCCTCCTCTGAGCTCACTACCTACACCGACATCCTTTGTTCTTTCCTTCCCTGTAGCATCTTCTCTGCTTCTTCCTTGCTCTCCTTCCTGCAGTCCTGACATGTTGTTCCCCCTCGTGCTGTGGATGAGACGGGACAGGCGTTCGAGGCGCTGCAGCAGCGAAGCCTCTCTCTCGCTGATCGGGCGGGACTCCTCCGGGCTCCAGCGGTCACAGAAACTCTCCCACAGCTGGTCCAGAGTGCTGCTGCTCTGCGGGCCAGCGGGGGGGCCAGCGGGGGGGCGGAGGTGAGAGTCCCTCCTCTCCTGGCCACCCTCCCCTCCTCTCTGAGGGACAGAGCTGGTGGTGAGGTGATGGAGCGCCGTGTCGGAGTCCACGTCCACAACATCAGGCTGAAATCTCACACGGTTCGGCTCCGGCTGAACGCAACTGGGGAACTGCAGGGGGCTCGTCCCCTGGTCTCTCAGCCTGGGGGGGGCAGCTGCTGCTGCTGTTGCCTGGGGAGACGGCTTCGGAGTTTGAGTCTCCTTCGTTTGTGAGGGTCCATCAGCTGATACACCTGAGAAGAGAGAGAGATGACAGGTTTTACGAATGCATTACGGAAATACACTTTTTCTAAACAATACATTTATTAATCAGTGTCTCATGAACAAACAAACAGTCAAAACAAAGCTGTAAAAAAAACTTATTTTATAAATTGTTATAATAAATGTTAGTTTAGACGTCTTTAGGTTAGTAAAAAGTAAAAGGAGCTATAATGTTTTCTGGATGCATCCTAATATAGAGCAAATTCTTGCTCAATACATTTCTCAACACTTTTCAAAAAGTTTTTTTTGTTTGCATTGCCAAACACAGTTAGTACATAAACACTAGTAATGTTGATTTGTAATGTACAAATGAACAATTAGTGACAGTCTTTATTAGTAGATGATGGACAGATGGCATGCTGTTACACAATACAACTCAATGAGTGTGCATGTTGGAGTTCAGCTCACCTCTGTGTCTGAGCTCCTGCATCTTGACGCCTCCTGGCTTCGGCCTCCGGCTGTAGATCCCCTCTGAGTGTCTGATGGGAACTCCTC